TCCTTATTTTTCGCAAACAGTTTTCACATTATTTGTCAATGTGTGCCACAATTTATTTTATAGTTAATGTTTCCCATGGTCATCAGTCATAGGTTCGGATAACTACCAGGAACAAACATATTGACCCATGACTGGATTAGCTACCATACCCTTCCAGTTTTTAATACTCTCTACTTCAAGTGACCAAATCATTTCTGACTGGATAAATTGGCAGACTTTCAATAGTTCCCCCGTTTGAGTAATGTTTATTTTGGAAATAATCTGTAATAATAACAGGGTAGAAATCAATCCATCTTGTTCTTGGCAGGTTGAGGGCTCATAGAATATATTACCTAATTCACTGTGGCTTCCAAATCTTAGCACTTAACAGTTGATTAAAACCAACCAATCAACTAACACATCTCTCTCCTAAATAAAAACAATAACAAAAGTTGGCATTTAAAAAGTCATGTTCCTGGATCCCTTCCCTATCAAAAATACAGCAGCTTTAACTTCCTTGTGGGACTTCTCTAGAGCCCTGAAGACCTAAGGAACAGAGTTTGGAAGCCACTTGTCCAGATTACTGAGAAGCTGTTTGTTTTCTTGCTCATCAAGATGAGATTCCTTGTAGCGAACCTCTCTTAAGAGTTAAACGTTTCCCTTTCACAGCCAAGCGTAGTAGTTTCCAAAAAAGAATCTTGAAAACAGCCTGCCAGAATTCAGCAGTGGGAGTAAGTGGACCACCAGGAAGGATCTGCAGTGTACGGAACCGGCAGAAATTGTGCATCACAAAGGGAAAGGCATGGTGTTAAATACTTGGAGAATGTTTCTAATTTCAGTTTCACCTAAGGTCACTTACATGAACAACAATCAATAGAGTTTTGCCAACTTGAGTTTCTGACTATAATGTTTGCACACATTTTATTAGTTGGGTTCAGGTGCTAGGGGAGGTGTCTGTTCAATAATTCTCTTTCATTTAAGTGGCAGATAAAGTATTGAGAAGATGATTAGTAGGTCAAGGATCAAAAAACAAGCCATTTGCTAAGCAATTGTGTTTTTGATTGATCCACATTAAGGGTGAAATCCCTTAAATCATTTCATTTGTGCATGTTGGTGTCAAGTATAGCTAAGTGACTCAAATGTGAGTGATGAGGCCTTTTCTCATTAGGAGGTCCTGTTGTCCATCAGATCAAGGTAGAAAAGTTAATAACTGAAAATTATGGCAGGGATCAAATAGGAGATACAAATTTTTCATATCTGGTTGCAATTTAGCCCTATCAATAAACACACAAAAAAGTGTTCACAATACTAGTGCTAACTTACGTTTACTGAAGATTATTTAAAATGCAATTGACAGCAACACATGATACTATTATTTCTTAGGCATAGTAAGAAACATGAAATTCTCACGTGATAAGATCCAAAGTGTGAGTACTAGTAAAAGAGAGAACTAAGTAGCTTTGTTTACAATGGAGAGAGGAAACCCGCATAATCACAATTTTCCAAATGTTTTAACATCCAATAAGGAAAATGTCTGTCATGTCCATATGTGTAGACAAGATGATCTAGGTCCTGTGGGGCCTACTAAAATGCAATCTCCTTTCCCAAATTTACCATAATACCAAATTTTGGTTCTTAGTCACCTAAATTGACCATGACTGGTGTCACTGTAGGACTATTTTCTCCATGTACTCTATAAAAGTGTACACGTAACTTGTGAAGAAAGAAAAGACTCTGGAAGACATCTCTTTTTTTTTTTTTTTCTTTCCACAGGCACATTAATTCACTCCAGTTCAGAAGTTCCATATACCCTATGAGGGACTGAGATTGGCAGAATTCAGTAGCAGATGGGAACAGAGGAAGGCTGTTCTTGAGAGGGGCGAGAGGCAGATTTCAGTGGGGCAAGGCCTTGACAGCGGACTGTGGACTTGGCCTTTCCATAGCCAAGGCCCTGACTTATGCACCTTTGTATTCTCAAGAACTTAAGCTTAATATATGCAGTGAATGCACAAACAACCACTAAACAGACTTCTGTAGGAAGTGATTCCCAATGCAGGGAGAGAGATAGTGGGATAGAAAACATGAATAAGGCAATGATGTATATGCACTTAGCTCACCTTGGGGCTAAGTAGTCAGAAGGAAACCAGGATCCGGAAACAACTACTGAGATAGTCCTTTTTCAATGGAACCAAAATGACTGGAGGAACAGAGAGGGGAGGGACAATATAGCCAAAGGAGAAAGTGCTCAGAGAGGCACTTTCTTCCACATAAGAAAACTCTATCCTTACTTCTGTACAGTGTTGCTTTTATATATTTACTCCCTAACGATGTTATTGCAAAATGCATTAAAAAATCTGTTTTTTCAAGTAGAATATGAAACTTGTATCTTCATACTTATGAAAACACACACAAGAAAACACATGTGTGATTATGACAGTAATCCAAAGGATTATGTTTATTTGCAGTTAGTTGATTTTGGGTATGTATATGTACTTGTCTACATGTGGGTTATGTGTGTCTGTCTCTTCTGTCTGTTATACAATTTAAAGAGAGCACTTGGATCATGAATACAATTAGTTTTCACCCCCTGTTTAGCCTAAGGTGTAATTGTGTCTGTTGTAGCATTTGATCCATTGTGTGATTTAGTTTGGTGTATAGGGGGAAATGTTTGTGCACCAAATGTGAACTTGATTTTTAACTTTGATTTGTAAAAATTTCCTTTTGGAGCTTGTAGATAATCATGTAAATCCCTGAGATAATCTCTATCATGATACCCAGAGTTGAGGGGTTTCTTGAGAGTAAATAAGTTGAGCTTCACATTATTTTCTTTTTGGCAGGTCCATTGACAAGAGTTAGGATGACCATGTGGGATCTTACTTTGGTTGGAGGTAAGGAAAGAGGGAACTGACAGAAACAGGCTAAGTATCTCCAAATTTTTTCTTGATACATGTGTTCCCTCTTTAGCAGATGATGGATATTTGCAACCTTCAAATGGATGTAGAGTGATTTCTTGCTCACATTATTTAGCTCTCTTTTGTCTTTTCCTTTGCTCTAACAGGCTCTTGAAAAATTCCCAACCAACAGACTCCTAACTTAAATTTCTCCACTTCTCTTATGTTTCCTGATTGGCATATCACAAAGCAGGCAAAAGATACACCTTTGTTAAGGTGTAAACACCGAATTCCAATTATGCATTAATACCGTATGAATCCGTTTCTTCGGCCTCCACCAATGCCTGTAATGCATCCTTTGTCCTTACAAATAAATTCCTAGGCATATTTTTAAAAAGTGGGAAAAAAATGAATGCGAAAATCTCTAAGGAAACGCAAAGCCAGTTCAAAGATAAGAAAAGATTCCAGAGGGTTCCTCCAGTTTAAATGACTCTTTGCTTGTGTTTAAAAAAGAAATCTGAAAACCAAGAATTCCACGCCAGACAGACTCACAGATCAGAGCAGAGAAACAGCAAGGCTGGTGCTGTCTGGGAGACCCCAGCCATAAATTCACACTTTGGAACTCGGTCCTTTTGTGGGGAAAAGAGTCACTAAGGTTCTCACGTAGCGACGTGTCGAATGCAAACTCCTGCAGGCGCTGGTGTGCGTTAGGATCAGGAATCCTGTTAGGATCGGGAACGCAGATCAGACCTAGAGTGCAGTTCGGAGATCAGCCTCCTTTCCTAGCTTTTAGCTGCCAAGCTGTGCTCGCTGCCTCAATTTCTCTGCGCGCAGGCGTTAGAGCCTGAGATGGACAAATACAACAACTCCCCAAACAAGCCTTCTCATCGCAATAGGAACATGGGCGTTTAACCGCCAAACCGCTCCAAACCAGAGCCCCGAGCTTGCGGGGACGGCTTGTCTCCTGCAAACTTCCGCGCCTCGCAGGCAGCTACCGCTGGCGCCCCCAAGCGCCGCGTGCTGCGCGCCCCTGCCCCTCTCAAAGCTTCCTTAGACCTTCTCAGAAGCAAACCGGACCTAGGGAGCCTTGGGGACTGGACGGAAAGGCTTCCCATGGAATTCCCAGAAGCTGGGAAGCTGGAAACCGAGGAAGGCAGGACCTCCGTTCATTTCAGTTTGGGATTTCCTTTTTGCAAAGGGGGCAGCTGCCTAGCACGGTAAAGATGCCGGGTAGAGCTGTGAGATTGAAACCCTTGGAGCGGGCTCAGGGCACCCCATTCCTCCCAGTCCCGCAGAGACGTAAACGAACGCTGCGTGTGTGGTGGGGTCCTGGGGTTCGGGGGGTGCAAAAGGCAGACGCTGGGAAGTCCCAAATGTCTCTCGGGTGAAAGAATAGGAACATCTTTCCCGTTTCTCCGCTCCTCTTCTCCCCAGTTCCAAAGCCCCCATCCATGTCAGTTGGGTACCCCCGGCACAGCATAGCTCAGCCTCACACACCTCCTAGGAGGCAAAAACTAAAACCCAACTTGAGCGTTTGAGCGTCCACAGAGCACAGCATTAACGCCCAGGTGCTCACTTCTCTACGTCTTCTGTGGGGCATTTCTAGTGCCCTGTAGGAGGCAAGCGCTGGAGACGAGTTGGGAAACTTAAAGAAGGGTGCTGGCGGTCCCCAAGGGCGGTGGAAACCTGCCCCTCTCCGCGTCCACCGCTGCCCCCCGTCTGTCTCCAACGGCCTTTCCACCCTCTGGAGCTGTGGTCAGGAATGAGGAGACCTCACGTTCCTCTGGGAATGAATCCCATTTTCTCGACTGTTGCAGCGTGGAGAGGGGTGTGGGAGGGGGGCGAGGGGGCGAGGCAGGAGGGGGAGCCGCAGAGACAGCAGCCGCAGGGGGAAGGAGAAGAGTGGGGCGGGAACGTGGGGGGTGAGAGAAACGATTTCACTCTTTGTCACTCTTGAATTGGGGGCGGAGGGAAAAAAAAAAACCCCACTGTGGGAAGCTATAAAGAGCAAAGGGGGCGACGGTGAGAGAGCAAACGGAGAGAGGGAGACCGCTGGGCGCGAGGCCGCTCCCAGGGCGCTGCTGCGTCCCTGCCCGCGGTAGGCAGCCAGTGAGCGAGCGGCGCTGCGCCGCGACCGTGCCCGCGCGTGGGAGCCCTCCGCTCGCCGGAGACCCCCGGGGTCACGTCCGGAGCTTCCTTGACCCCCCATTAGAGCGCCCGCTAACACTGTGTCCTGCAAAGGTGGAGACTTAAAGGGTAGTAAGGAAGGCAACGAGGAGACAAAAGCAACTGAGGCCGCAGGAGAAGAGGTGTGGTGTGGACCTCCGGAGGAGTTAACGGGACGATCGGACCGCAGAGACCCGGCGGGGCCACGGAGGTGCGGGGCACGGAGCCTCTGGAGCGGTGCGGTCTGTGGGGCTGGGGCTTCTTGCACCTCGGGTCACGCCTCCTTGGCGAGAGGACTCCTCGCCTTTGACTGCTTCCAGTTACGGCAGAACTTCCTGCCCTGCCGGAGAAGCGGGTCTGGCTTTGGTCGCTCTCGCTCCTGGTCTGAAGCGTGAGACTGAATTCACACGGTGCTGGGCCCCCGGAGCCAAGTGGGGTTGGGGGCACAGAGCCTGCGACCCCCCTCACCCTGAGCGAGGGGCCAGGTGTTGGGGTCCTCCCTCCCCTCGCATCCGCGCCCCTCCGGGCTTTGCGCCTCCCCGGGGACCCCTCGCCAGGAAATGGCCGCGCTGATGCGGGGCAAGGACTCGTCCCGATGTCTGCTCCTACTGGCCGCGGTGCTGATGGTGGAGAGCTCACAGCTCGGCAGCTCGCGGGCCAAACTCAACTCCATCAAGTCCTCTCTGGGCGGGGAGACGCCTGCCCAGGCCGCCAATCGATCAGCGGGCACATACCCAGGACTGGCTTTCGGCGGCAGTAAGAAGGGCAAAAACCTGGGGCAGGTAGGAAAACACTCCAAATACACTCTACAGCCGAGAGCGATGGGGACCAGCGCTCTTGAGCGCGTCGTTGGCCTTTGCACGCCTCAACCTTTCAAGTGCGTCCGCAGGTGTGCGCGCACCGCTGCTCGGGAGGGGTTCCCGGAAGCAGATCATCGCGGGCGGGGGTGGCTGGTGGCGGCTGGTGCGAGACGCTGCGGACCGGGTGGGTTAAGGTTCTCTCATTTTTGCTTTGGGACATGAGCATGGTCAAGATCCAGTGCGTAAGGGTGGGGGATGGTCCTCCAAATTTAACATGGCAATGCTGATGATCATGTTAATAGCAGCTAATACACAGCAACTATTATGTGTCAGGCACTGTTCTAAGCGTTTACATGTATTTAGTCTTCACGACCCTATGAGCTAGGCGCTGTTACTTCCCCCATTATGAAAACGAAGAAATTGAGTTAAGGGGTGATTAGGCAATTTGCAAGGCACACAAGCTAGTGTTAAGTGACAGAGTGGGATTCCAATCCAAATAGTCTGGGTCCAGGTCCTGGTCCCTTAACCATTACATTTTACAATCTGGAGGGGGAATTCACCCCCTTTCAGGTTCTGCTTCCCTCCCAACCACTTTCTTCCTTCAAAGAAGTGAGGTCACAGACAGAAAGCCTCAATAGACAACCCATTTCTCAATTCTCTAGCGTTGTAAATAAATCATCCAGGAGGCAGCAAAATGATGAAGCGACATTGACAGTATCGCGTAACGCGGGCGCAACCAAGGTGCCAGCGACATAGCAAAGTGGACGCCGGCGGCATTTTTGCAAGCGGGACCTTTTCGCGGGCGTCTGTCTCGGTGTCACACAGACACATTGACAGTCGCTTGCAAAGAGTTACGCAAATATTCACAAACAAAACTAGCGTGCACACGCGACGCCCGCTGTGGCCAGCGCGCAACGGCCAGGAGAGGGGGCCTTGTGGGCACTGGGAACCACGACAGCTCCCCCTTTCTGCTCCTTTTGTAGGAAGCCAAAACCGAAAGCCAGTATGCCAAACAGCACACGCACCTCTCAGCACAACTGTCAACCCGTGAAAGCGGCTCATTGCCCCCACAGATCCTGGGTTTCCTTGTTTCATTGGAGGACCTGGCGGCACCAGCTGTCCACGCTCTTGGTGGCCTCCACTGTCCCTGCCCCAGCCGCTAGGCAGGCGACAGGCTGAAGTTGAGAGCAAGGGCCAGTCCTGGATGGACAGCAAGGAAAAAGTGGGCCCACGTTTGGTCCCCTACTGCCCTCTCACGGGGACGGTTTTTGTAGGTTTGCAGTTCCAGAATGCTTCCTAGGCTTTGAAATGACAAACATTTTCAGCTAGCTTCTCAAAGCAATACAAAGTCTACAATCACAGGATTTTTTTTAAAATCTCACGGGAAATAAACTCTACATATGCATGCATACTACATGCATACACATTACATGCATACATATTCTTTGCACATTGTCGCATGTGTTGCACATACCTCCACACTTATGTGACCGTTCTCATTTCCTTTTACTTTTCCCTCTGAAACACTCTGACACTTTCGATAGTAATGGACTTAACATTTCCTTAGATATCCATCATGATATGAAGCAAAATTTAGAAGGAGAAGATGCTATCAATCCAAATCATAAGACTTTTCTCTAATGCTACTGACCTCAAATTCCATGTTATCAGTTGCTGAAGACAACTAGATGTCTAGTTCAGCCAAGGACAGACGGATGGACCCAATGATCTTTTAAGGTTCCTTTTGATTCTAATCCATGTACATTCTGTGAGTTTCTGTAAGAGACTTTCTGTTTCCGTCGCCACTGGGCCCCAACACTTGATGTTCCTGAATCAAATTATCAGTTATGTCAGAACTGTCATTAGCCATGGACTAAAATGAGGGGTGCAGCCCAGAATCTAGCTTATGCCTGATGTTTTGATATGCTTATTTTGCTCTGTCCAAATATCTGCTCTTTTAAAGAGGTTGCAACTCCATGTGGATGTCTTTAAATGGAAAATTAATTTGTTTCTATAAATAAGTTTAATTTTCTTTCTTTCTTCTCTTCCTTCCTTCCATTCTTCCTTTCTTTCTTGAATTTCTTAAATACTCTCCATAACTTAGTGGTTCTGGGGAATAAATTTCATTATATTTACTTAACTATAATACCATACCCTCATACTTTGATGTTAGGTTTGTTAGAAAATTGTAATTTATAAGAGATAGTGGTAACATAAGATACAACACACTTGAATTGAATTAAAGTAGGTGGAAAATGAGAAGATTATTTCTTGTTATTTTCTGGCTTCTCATTTGTTTAGTGGGCGATCTAAAAACGTATGCTATTACGAAGAAACAAACAGAAAAATCTAACTTCTTTGAAGTAGAAGGAGGAATTCTTTGAATATTTATGGGTCTCTTTACCTTCTTTAATCTACTAGTTATGTGGTTTCTAAAATTCTTCATACTCTCACTTTCAATAATAGAATGCAAGAAGAAGACTTGTTCAAACAGAAAGATGCCATAGAGAAAAATAATGTAGAATTGAAGTGTAGCCGAGCTAAATTTTTACCCAGCAAAATAGAAAAATAGGATTGATTGAGAAGATTGGGAGTTAAGTGCCAGCTGATCAAACTCGCTAATGATGTAGTGTCATCCTGAGGCCCAATAATTTGGTCTTCTCTCCCTCCTCCAATCTTGATTAATGATGTTGAAATGTATGTGTTTCAGAGATACAGGAAGAGGAAACTGTAGGATGCAAATTCAGGCAGGTTTATTAGAACTTAGTTTTTGGTCTTCTTTTCTTTAGGTAAAATGTGAATAATTTTTTATTTACTTTCAGAATAGAGGATTAAAATAAAAATTTTCTTGCCATTGCAGAATAAATTAATGAAGGAATTTTATAATTCCTTAACCTACAAAAGTGAAAATGAGACACAAAAGGGCCCCAAGGTTTTCTTGATTAGACGTAGTCTGTTTTCATATGAAGAAAAAATCTTACTTATAGGAATTCTATTTATTCTATAGGCACGAAGGATTATTTGCAGATCATTACTGGAAAAGATGCCGTTGAATTTCCGGAAAGATTTAGAGAGGTCAGAAAGAGAATATACTGTTCTCCAGAGATGTTACGATTCTCATTTTTAGATTTGCTTTCAAAGACAGTTATGAGTTATGATGGGAAATGACCTAGAAAATTGAATATGGCAGTATTCAAGTGATTGACACAGAAGTAGCAAAAATGATTTTGTTGAATTATTCACATTTATGTTTTAACTTCAGTTTTCGTTTTCTATTGCTTATGAGTTTTAAAAGATAGAGTATATGTTTATGGGATAAATAAACTTGTGCACTGTTACTAACGTATATATATGTCAAGATATTTCACTTTCTAAAGAGGTGATTGCAAATGTTTTAAATTAAAAATAATTTTAAACAAAATCTTTTATATCATGTGGATACATATATTCTGAATAAGTACACTGCTGCTCGACATCACCTCTGGAGTTTGAAGTAATCAATTTTTATAGGCCATGTTAAGAACAAATAAAAAAAGCAACTTAAAATATCAATTTACCTTTGCAATTCATTTTTTTTTTCAAGTGGAAAACCTTTGGATTTGTGCTTGTAATTCCTTTTTTTAGTCTTCTTTACCCCCTACTTTGTCTTTTGGAGACGGATTAATTTGAATGCAGTGCTATTGGATTTTGAAATATTTTTAAAAGTTATGAGTAGAACATGAAACATAATTACATTTTAAATGTAAATAAGCTTCCTGGCACGTGTCTCTAAAAAGGAGCTGAAAACTGGTTTAACATAAATTCTGATCCCATAATTTTCTCGTATAACTTGGACATTTGGATAAGTTTAGATGAAGTCATGCTGTGAAAAAAGAATGCTTGAAACACATTGAAACAGAAGCTTGAGGGAGTTGGTTAGAGAGCGCTAATATTTGTGTATTGCATTTTCTTTAATAAAAGTGCCACATGTATTTATCTGTATAAATATTCATGAAAGTGCTCATCTAAATAAACTATACATAAGTTGGATGGTCTACTTGCTGTGGGTGATCACTTCACTTTTTGAAATTACCCATGACTTTTTTTTTTTTTAAATCCCAGCCCAACTTTCTCCTGCTAGAGAATAAATATCTGCAGTTATTTTCTAGACATCACCTGATGCTAAGTACAATCAGGAAAGCAAATCATTTTTAAAATTTAAACTTTCCAAAATAAAAGATTTTGAAGCAATCTACAATAAGGTTCCTTTTCTTTCACTGTGAATAATAGAGAATTGATAAGTCCGTACCAGTGAAAGGTGACCTCGTGAATAACAACAAAAGTATTTTAATGATAATCTATGTAGGAGCATCCATCATTTTATTTTGTGCTAGAGGAGAGAGCAAGGGACGAGGGTACTTAAACTCACTCCAGCTGTGACTTTGACCCTACCAGAGTCTCCTTTAGTAAATCCCTCCAATGCAAACTCCTCCCAGGATGTTTCAAATCTTATAGTTTTTAAAGCAGAGAAAGCAATGTAATAGAAGGGTAACTGGTGTATTCTATTCAGGAGGAATGTTGCCACTTCCTCTTCTTTTTCCTGCCCAATCACTTTAAATGGATATTAAGATAATTGTTAAACTGTAGAAGTCTTTTATAATACTCAACATGTTTACCATTTGTGAGCCACTATTTTCTAGCTGTTCATTCTTTGATATTGATACAACATCAAAATGAAATACAATCTTTTTTCTGTCTGTGATTTCTTCATTGCCCTTTAAATTCATTTTCCTTCATTAGACCCCTTGTTACTTGCACTCATCTATAAAAAGAATATAAAGCTGCCCCTAGTCATTTATCTAATAATTGAAAAGATTTATGCACTATCTGTGTCTGCCTGTGACTCTTACTGAGTCGTTTTTTAAAAATAATTTTGAAACAGCACCCAAAAGGAGGCAAAATTAATAGCAGTTAAGGATAGATTTTTGCATTGTGTAGGATTG